CAGAATAACAAAAACAGGCAAACCTGTGAGACTAGCCAGATGCATGATGGGATATATGAATGACAAGCTGAGTCAAAACTAAATGATAAATATATAGTGAGCAAAGTCCAAGGTTGTCAGACACAGGAAGATACAACAATTCAAACTTCACTGTTCATATTTCATGTTTGCATTATCTTAATATGAACATGCAAATAGACAAAGCTGATGCACCCCTCCCCTCCCCCACCCTAACTAGCTAAAACCTCAGTATCATGTGTTTAAAGGACCAATAGGCGTCCAGACCACTTCATCTCAATGAAGTGACCTGGGTGCAGTGACCCTTCCATTTCCTGACAGCCACTAGAGGGTGCTGCTGCTGCTACAACCGAGACTCAATAAGAAGCATTAAAGGACCACTATAGTGCCAGGAAAACATACTCGTTTTCCTGGCACTATGGTGCCCTGAGGGTGCCCCCACCCTCAGGGTCCCCCTCCCGCCCGGCTCTGGAAAGGGGTTAAAACTTACCTTTTTCCAGCGCTGGGCGGGGAGCTCTCCTCCTCCGATCCGCCCTGTCGGCTGAATGCGCATGCATGGCAAGAGCTGCGTGCGCATTCAGCCAGTCGCATAGGAAAGCATTTACAATACTTTCCTATGGACGCTGGCGTGCTCTCACTGTGAAAATCACAGTGAGAAGCACGCAAGCGCCCCTAGCGGCTGTCAATGAGACAGCCGCTAGAGGCTTTGGGGGAAGGCTTAACCCACTGATAAACATAGCAGTTTCTGTGAAACTGCTATGTTTATAAAACAATGGGTTAACCCTAGCTGGACCTGGCACCCAGACCACTTCATTAAGCTGAAGTGGTCTGGGTGCCTAGAGTGGTCCTATAGTCACCTAAATTACTTTCGCTAAATAAAGCAGTTTTAGTGTATAGATCATTCCCCTGCAATTTCACTGCTCAATTCACTGTCATTTAGGAGTTAAATCACTTTGTTTCTGTTTATGCAGCCCTAGCCACACCTCCCCTGGCTATGATTGACAGAGCCTGCATGAAAACAAAAACTGGTTTCACTTTCAAACAGATGTAATTTACCTTAAATAATTGTATCTCAATCTCTAAATTGAACTTTAATCACATACAGGAGGCTCTTGCAGGGTCTAGCAAGCTATTAACATAGCAGGGGATAAGAAAATCTTAATTAAACAGAACTTGCAATAAAGAAAGCCTAAATAGGGCTCTCTTTACAGGAAGTGTTTATGGAAGGCTGTGCAAGTCACATGCAAGGAGGTGTGACTAGGGTTCATAAACAAAGGGATTTAACTCCTAAATGGCAGAGGATTGAGCGGTGAGGCTGCAGGGGCATGTTCTATACACCAAAACTGCTTCATTAAGATAAAGTTGTTCAGGTGACTATAGTGTCCCTTTAATTTAGGCATACACTTATTGACCCCCATAGATTCTGTATGACAGGAGCAGGCAAAAGTTCCTATCTGCTCGGCAATTCCACACAGTTTCTAGGTTTGTCCTTGTAGGGCACATGGAGCCTTCATAGCTGAATAGTTTGTAGAAGTCTTGTCTGGGTAGGCTCATCTTTTCTGGTCATACTGTGCCCCTAACAAGCACGGGGTCACTTAGAGATAAGAGAGGACTGGGAAGCTCAGAAAGGAAGTACCTTGTGTATCTGCCATGGCCTCCCTCACAAACTCAAATCTACCCCTATATGTCCCCATTCTCGGGTAGTTACCATGACACCCACACATTCCAACAGTAAATCTGGAACCCTGTGTTTCCAGCCCAGGATAGTTCCCATCACAAGGGTGTATAATCAAGATACAGGAAGCATAAGGAAACTGAAAGAAAAACATTTGTCAGAGCCGCTTTAACAAAGGTTAACGTCCAATGGTTACGGTATTTTTCTGAGGTTGCTATGTGTTTAACAGGAGTTCACAGAACTGTCAGCAAGGCTTTATCTGCACTGTTTAACTCCTAATTACATGGGAGGTAAAAGGGGAAACACACGTAAGTTTGATGGCGAAGGAAAATAATTAGCTTCCTCTATTCTTTCCATCTCATTCCACTCAAATTGAATAATAATAAGCTTTGCCAGATTTAACTTAACTGTATGAGACATCTCTGAAATTACTGCTAAAATACACAAAATCTCAGTGACAGAAGCAAAGTGCAAATTTGGAAATATATATATATATAAATGCAGCAAAGAAACTGACACAAATAACATTAGAAATTTATATTTAAAAAAAAAAAAACAACAGGTTTACAGAAATAAATGAAAATCACACCATGTTCCAGTAGTGAAAAAAATAAAATAAAACAGTAGAAATTGTTATGAAAGTTGTGGCAAGCATTTGACTAAATATCGAATGTACCACTACAAATCGTATGTTTTGGTTTTAAAAAGTATTGACACAATAACTGTAACTATGTTTATACAATTCTCTCAGAGTTCCAATGCGCTGCTTTTTAAATGTTTCTGGGTTCTTCTCAATGATGGGTTTTAACATGCAGATCTTTATGTAGTGTTGGAATTCATATGATACAATTCCCTGCTCTGTACAGTCGTATTGAATACAGCGATAATGACCTTCATACACTTCATTACAATGCAGAGCAGTACACACACATCAATGTATAACAGCCTATGATATACAATGCTTATTGGTGACTTTGTACAGTCAAAATCTTTAATGTACATATATACAAATTATCACAACTGATTGGGGGGAAAAAGTGGACAAAAAATATCTTTTAATAATGTTTAAAGGGGAAAACCAAGCCAAAAGCACCAGGACCAAAGCATCTTCTATGAGACTGTAGATGTTCGAATAGTTTCTGTTTCATCCTTTTAATAATGGACTTTGATAGATTTGGTTCACTGTTAGAAATGTTTGTGTTAGTATCAAGCTACGCATTATTAGAACTTTGAGAAATAAAAAATCAGAAAAAAGCCACACACTATTTAGGAATGTGGATTCCCCAAATGTCAGCACCAATTGGTCTTTTTAATTCAGCATACACCTAATGCAGAATAGCCCTTGCCCATGCATAAGAGCTACCCTTATCCCCATTGTGTTACGTTGCTGATAATGTAAAATCTCAACCTGCTACAGAGAGAGACTGGGCCAGCTGTCCCTGAGATACAAGGAGCTGTGTAGGTAAAACGTACTGGGTTTTGGATCAGGATAAACCTCTGCTATTGATTTATACATATGGTTGTGGTTAAAGGAATTAATATTAGCTTTAATGTGGCAAATAAATGCATTGGGAATTACATTTTAATTTATTACATTTTTAAGGATGTTTGGCGCTTACCTGTTTGAAAATATATTACTTTTTCTGCTTTGTACATATCTCTTCTCCTGGTGTTTGTTTATACAAATTTCTGTTATACAGTATTCCAAATTACTGATTTTCTTTCATTAATTTATATAACAAATCTAATATGATTTAGTACTATTTTAGTAAAATTCTAAAGCCAAATATTTTATTTCATTTCTCATAAATCTGTACTGTAACTTGAGTCAGTTTGATGAAACATAGCTGTTTTTTATTCTGAATACTATTTTATAAACAGTTTCTATTATTATTTAAAACTGTGGAGAAATTTCCAGCGTTATAAATGGACACTAGCACAAGCTCGTACTAATACTGTCTAAATTCAACCATAATGATTCTTGCAACTGTAGCAATCACATTATATTAAAGAGTTGGGGACGGAGCCGTGTGCAGGGTATAATTAGCTCAGAAGCACTTGTCAGGCCCACATGCTGGATTCGATGGATCATTTATACGCCAAGGGACTGGCCACTGGGCTAGCTCGTACCCAACATGACAAATACAATGCTTTTCCCATCTTACCAGTATATGTACATCAGAAGCCATATATCCGGATGGATGTTTATTCAGTGATAATTGGGAAACAATAAAATACATTTAATTGGTTTAAGATATTTTACCAAGAACGATGCATTTTGATTAGAAGTATGCCTGGGGATCTAGATGTATTCCGTTATATACCGCAGGTTTAGTAAATACTGCATTAATAAACTTGGGAATCAAAAATAAAAATCCTATCATTTACACATTTATACATAAAGCTATAGATGCACAAACACACAAGCACACAGGGGCACGCACATGGGCATGCACACTGGAACACAAATACACACAGTTACACTCAAGTATACACAGTTGCACGCTAGCACGCACACACACAGTCATGCACTGACACACAAAGGCGCACCCACACAAGCATAGACAAACAGACATGCACAGATACAGACATGTAGTTAGGGGACTGTACATGCTAATTATTAATCAGATGTCCCTATGGTGCCTCTCAGACCGGAGCAGTATCACTCCCATCCAATAAACATTAGAAAGAAAGGTCTAGTCACACAGAGGTCATCCCAAAGTAAACTTTTTTGGGGGTGGTGATAAAGGTATTATGGTGTCTGTGGTGTAGTGGATGATTAAAGAGGCTCCAGACCCATAAATTATGTCAGCTTGCTGTAATGCATTATGAGTGAAATGTGTATTCTCTACACCTTGTTATTTACCCTGGCTGTCAATCAGACAACAGGTCATGTTACTTCCTGGTTTGTTTATCTAAGTGGAACTAAACTCAAGATGTGCCAATTGCCCAGAGCACCTGCCTTGCAAAGACTTCTCATTGAGTTGCATTGGGAAGTCGGTGATTGGACAGCCACAGAAAGTCTGGGCAAGATTAGAAGAGGAGAGGTTGCAAAGGCTTCAGACAAGAGATCCTCAGATTTTGCAAGCTGTTTTCAAATATATACCAAATTAAAACATGCATAATTAAAGGAACACTATAGTCACCTACATTACTTTAGCTAAATAAAGCAGTTTTAGTGTATAGATCATTCCCCTGCAATTTCACTGCTCAATTCACTGTCATTTAGGAGTTAAATCCCTTTGTTTCTGTTTATGCAGCCCTAGACACACCTCCCCTGGCTATGATTGACAGCCTGCATAAAAAAAAAAAAAAACTGGTTTCACTTTCAAACAGATGTAATTTACCTTAAATAATTGTATCTCAATCTCTAAATTGAACTTTAATTACATACAGGAGGCTCTTGCAGGGTCTAGCAAGCTATTAACATAGCAGGGGATAAGAAAATCTTAATTAAACAGAACTTGCAATAAAAGCCTAAATAGGGCTCTCTTTACAGGAAGTGTTTATGGAAGGCTGTGCAAGTCACATGCAGGGAGGTGTGACTAGGGTTCATAAACAAAGGGATTTAACCCCTAAATGGCAGAAGATTGAGCAGTGAGGCTGCAGGGTCATGTTCTATACACCAAAACTGCTTCATTAAGCTAAAGTTGTTCAGGTGACTATAGTGTCCCTTTAAAAGCATGCATTTTTTTCATGGTATCTATTAAGCAGTTGTTTTGTATTTGTTTTGCAATTGTGCAGTGGAGTGTCCCTTTAAGCCCTTAAGGACCAAACTTCTGGAATAAAAGGGAATCATGACATGTCACACATGTCATGTGTCCTTAAGGGGTTAAGGTTAGTTAATTGTGAGGCTAGGTGGTAGAAGGGATTATAGGGCCTTAGATTTGAGCTTTGCTTTGGGCCTCAGTAACTTTAATGTTGTCTTTACTGAGTATGAACTTAGATACAGTATCTAATTGGTATCCGGCACCAAAATACACAGTCTAGTCTCCTGTCATGGGTCTCTTCTTACGTATTTAATTTAACTACTCATTGGCTGGCACCTTTATAATAGCTCATTGGCTAACTTTTGACTGGCTGGCTCCTTCATACCAAAATCTGAAGGTGTCTGTCTGAGATGAAGTGCCGGTGAGGCGCGAAATGCGTCAGTGATGATATTTACTCTCCCCCCATGTGTCCCAGCAAGGTGCTTACTTTGGAATGATTTACACTTACCTATGGATCATATGGATCAAGGTGTCCTTTCTTCATGATGGAGAAAGTTGCACTTGTTAAACAGATTATTACACCACATATTAGTGCATGACTTGGAATATCTAATTTCTTGGACACACATCTCCCGCGCTAACTCTCTGTTATTAACAATTAAATAAAGTTTGCCACTTTTAGAACTGATGTAGAAGGCAGGGAACTTTCGGAAAGTTACCGCTGTCACGTGAAAATGTCTGTGCTGTTCTTTTATGCCTATTCAGCACTTTGAAGATGAGTATGTGCAGAGTAACCAGATACCTCCTATATCTATGGATGCTTAATGGGAAATGTGTACTGCAGGGCTGCATTAAAAGCATTTATGGTCTGCGAGCTGAATTTTATAAGACACATCTTCAAGCAAATGCATATAATGGTATTAGAGTTTTCATGCGTCAAAGCATTAACACCTTGTTTACCAGGACAGAATGGTTCTAGGGTGTGAGTGTATTTTGCCATTATATATACATATATATATGTGTATATGTGCATGTGTGTATATATTGGCTATGAAAGCCATCTTTCATTATGCGTTGCTAACATAAGTGTTCCTTAATGTAGATTAATTGCACCATTATAAACAATAATATAGTGTATAATTTGCTGTGAAGGATTTCTACAGTTAAAGGGACACTCCAGGCTGATGCAAAACACCATAATAAATGCATAGAGTGCCCAGTTGAGGGAGCAAGCTCTCAGTCTGCATACCTACCAACTTCAGCAGATCAGGAATCTGGATGCCTGTGGGAGAGGGGTAAAGGGGGCGGACCAGTGATGCGATTGTTTAACTATAAATATCAAAATACACTTAGAATGAAATTATATATTTATATATAGTTTCATTCTAAGTGTATAATGTTTATTATTTATTTATAATTATATTGTTTTATTAATAATATATTGAGAGATCTGCCTGACAACCCAAAACTGCCAATCAAGCCGATCTGAGTCATGCAATCTTGAGGAACCGATGGTTAGAGTGTGCTATGCTGCCGTATTGGTTTTAAAGCCCTCTTTTTGTAGCACAGTATTGCTTGCCCTAACGTGAAGAAACGATTAAGGTTAAGGGTTTATTTTCAGGTTGAGGCTTTGAGTGCTGGAGTTTGAAAGTATTGTGTTGAGTTTGAAAGTATTTGTAAAGTACTCACCCCACTATGTCTTCTTTAGATCAATCAGATTAATGATATTAGAGCTGCAGGAGCTGTTACACATTGTGCATCACTCAGAGCTATCTCTGCTCTGCTCTGTGTGATGCAGTGTGTTTGTGTGAGGGGTTTTGTGTGTGTGAGGAGTGCTGTGTGTTTGTGTGAGGGGTGTTGTGTGTTTGTGTGAGCGGTTCTGTGTGTGTGTGGTGCTGAGTGTGTTTGTGTGAGGGGTGGTGTGTGTCTGTGTGAGCAGTTATGTGTTCGTGTGAAGGGTTATGTGTGTGTGAGGGGTTCGGTATGTGTGTTTGTGTGAGTGGTTATGTGTGTGAGGTATGCAGTATATGAGTTTGCTTGAGGGGTGCTGTGTGTTTACATGAGGGGTTATGTGTGTGTGAGGGGTGCAGTATGTGTGTTTGCATGAGGGGTGCTGTATGTGTGTTTGTGTGAGGGGTGCTGTGTGTGTGGGGGGGGTGCAGTATAAGTGTGTGAGAGGGGGTGTAGTGTGTTTGTGTGTGGGGGTTATGTGTGTGTGTGAGGGGTTCTGATGGTGAGGGGGTGCAGTGTGTGATTGGTTCTGTGTGTGTGAGGTGGTGCAGTGTGTTTCTGTGAGGGGTTCTGTGTGTGGGGGGGGTTGCAGTGTGTTTGTGTTAGGGTTCTGTGTGTGTGAGGGGGTGCAGTTTGTTTGTGTGAGGGGGTGTAGTGTGTTTTTGCGAGGGGTTCTGTGTGTGTGTGTGAGGGGTGCAATATGTGTGTGAGGTGTAGTGTGTGTCAGGGGTCTATATTGTGTGGGGGGGATCAGGAAGAGAATCTCTCTATATTTTTTTAATTAAAAAGAGGGGGGAAATGTATGTGCCCCTCCTTCTTACCTCTGGCCTGGAAGGAGAGGACATATCACTGCAAGCCCTGGTGGTCCAGTGGTTTCACGTGCACCTCCTCTGGCTAGCGTTTCCATGGTAACTGGCTCCCTTCCTCACTCCCCCCAAGGGTCCTAGCTCCCTCACTCTTGTTTAACAAACTGCCCAGAGACAGGTGAGGGAGATCTTTGATCTCCCCACCGACCCCAAAAAAACAGAAAGCAGGGCCTGCTCTCCATAGGACAGTCCAAATAATTTATACGGCCCGCAGGCCAGACGTTCCCCATCCCTCACTCTTGGGTTTAGCTACTAATTTGAAATATAGTTTTAAATTTAAGGCCAGAGTAGCTGAGTTGGCTGACTTGGAGAATGCTTCAAGTTTGGCTATGTTGACCTTAAATTTGGAATCCACTCTGAATTCACCTTGAATTCTCACTTTGATGAATAACCCTGCACTTGTATTTTGCTCTTGATATTAAAGGCTATTAACTGATAAAGTAAGAGTACTACTTATTTTGTCCTTTAACATCTGTTCATTCCTATACTGGAATCTAGAATTTAGGATTACCGCTCAGTCCCCGTAAAACATTAAATGGCATTCTATACTGTTTCGAGCTAAAGACTGTTCTATGGAGGTGCGTATTCTCGCCTTTAACAATAATAGTAATTATGCATTTTTATTCTTGATGTCAAGTGGAACAATAACTAATACATACATCATTTCTACTTGTATTCTAAAAAGTCCAGATGGTATAAAATCAGCTCAGTAAGTTCTGAGAAAAATGTGGGATCATGCTGTGTGAAGAATAGATTGAATTATTTGCTGGATTGTGTTTTCCTCTTTTTGGCAAGCTCTCAGAAGTAGGATCGTGACTGGCTTCCATGACTGTCTTATCTGCGATCCAGTAATAATCACCGAATGCTGAAATATTTTTGCACTAAATGAGAGGATATTTGAATCATTTTGCCTTGTGTCTTTTGTATGCCCCGTGGACAAAACAGTGATTCATCGCTGTTCTATTTTCATTCCACTTATATATAATGCAGCGTTTATTACAAAAAATCAGGAAGCGGGAGGAAATGATCAGAGAATTGCTCATTTTGGGTATAAAAAGTCTGCTAAACTGCAAATGACCTCCAGTTTGGGTACTTTGGCCTGAAACGACCATTTCTTTGGTCAGTTCTCCACACTTTCCTAAAGCTTTTTTTTTTAGAGCAATCCAGATGATTGCTGTGATTTGGATAAATATAACATCTAAGCTTCTCTGAAGAAGGGGGTGTAAATTGGCTTTTGGAAGTTTCAATGGGTGGATCACGGCCCGACACACCTGCTAAAGGCTTGTTTTTCTTATTCACTAATCACACCCACTGTCAGAGCTCCTCCCCATGACGGCTACAGACAGGATAAGTGTAGCAGAGAAAGGATAGTGGGATAATAGAACATGGGCAATATTCTAGAATGCATGACATTTATTAATACAAGTTAAAATGCAAAATATTTAGGTAAAAAGATAATATAGTATTTAGTAATATAATACATATTATATAACAACATATATATCTATTTTGTTGCAGTAAAAAAAAATCTAATCTGTTGGCACAGTCTTAACTAATGATAAGTGGGTATTAGAATACAAACATGTTTTGTCATAATTAGTTCTGCAGCTTCTCCCTCTTGGCATTAGATGGTGGAGCCAGCCCGTTCAAAAGTAGTTGTTGATTCCCAAATATGCGTATCCATAGATTGATGGTATTTTACAGGGCATGATATCTCATTGGATCAGTGGCAGAGTTCAACAAGTCAAGTGGTAGAGTCAAATTTTGGGGGCGAAATCTAGAATTAAACTGCAAGGTAGTAGAGGTGACAGGTTCCCCGTGTATTCTCATTATTGTAATACCCCATCCTTCTACTCAAGAGATGGGGTTTTAATGGTTGAGCAGCCATTGCCTGTTCAGCTATGGTTTAGTAGACATGTTACCATTTACAGCATGGGCTATTGGCCTACTTAACATTTTTGCTATAGTATTTTTAGGTTGGGGTGGGGGTTGTTTTTTTATATACTGGAAATGTACTATTTGTGGCCGAGTATTAAATATGCCATGATACTCTACTTTAAGGGGGAAAATTAAGACTGGGAGATTTTGCTGGTATGTATCTGGGGAAGAGAAGACAAGGTTCAAAGTTATCTAGCAAATAAGTTCCATTAATACTTCATGTATCTGATGAGCTAGAGACTCCTTAAACCAATAATTAGCCATTAACTTTAAGTCCCCAATCTATGTTTAGGTTTTTTTAAAAT